ATTGTACATCTCTTTATCTGAGGTACTTATATTACAGATTCAGTTTAAGACTGTTCTCTGTTCTGGTTAAGCTTGCCATGCTTCAACCAGATACATGACAAAATTCTTGAGAGATAATATTATCATGTAGCCTTCCCAAAAGGAATAATTTGTGGCAGATGTACATCTCTAAAGATATATACCGTCTGCTCCAGCATTTCTTGAAGGTTATGGGGGGGGGGAACCTTGCTAGCTGATCTTTTAACCTTCAATTAATTCTGGGATGGAGGCACATAGATCAGCTCACTTTTTTTTTAATCAGCTAGTTTTTCAAATAAGTAGAATGCTTTTCCTCAGTGTCAAATGACACAAGTCAATTAAAATTAATGTTAGAATTGATCCCGAGGAAGCAATGTTTTAATGGTTATTTTTCATGGCCTAATTAGCAGAAAGTAAACAGATGGTTGTAAATTAGAAATTCATTTACTGGTGGACATTCTCAAAAAGCTATAAATCAGGCTTTAGCTTTTCATATGGATTTTGAGGGATCAGGCAGTAGCAGCATCTGGTCTAGTTCCAAGAAGAAGTGACTACAGTTGTCAAGTCCAGTCTAGGGTTCAGAATTCACACAACATCTATATTATATTGCTTCAATGTAGGATTTATTAGAAGTAATTCTTACAGAGAATATCCTCTATAAAGGAGCCAGTAGTTTTAATTGAATGTTAGTATAATAGTAGCTCCTAAATGTTTAGTATGACCATTCCCAAATTGGCACCAGGTTGCATTTTTTAATATAAGAGGGAAAAAAGTGATTAGTCCTACTTTTCAGTTGAAAAGTCTCCAGAAGAGGTTTCTAAAATGCTAAATACAAGGCAAAATCTGCTCTCAGAAATGAAATTGAAAAAGTTATAGTATAAAAAAGAAAGTGTGCTGGGATTAAAGAAAAATCAGCCACTAAAGTGTAATTTTCTAAGGTTCTTCCCAGAGTCCACCTGGAATATAGCTATAAAGGGAAATCCTTTATATGAAGAGAAGATAGTGATTTCCTATAAGAGGGAAATTCAAGTTGCTAGTCAATCAGATGTACTAATAAAATAGATTCAGTTTCCCTTTTTTCTTGTTAGCTCACATATTGCTTTGGAACATTACCAGAAACCAATTTTTATCTATGATAACCAGTGGGAGAGAAGCTTCAAATAGTGGAAAAGGCCTCCAGAAAGAAATCAAATTGATCTCATCAATGAAATATGTTCCATCTCATTTTGTCTGTGGTGCTGAATAACTCATCAAGGTGAATCATGGCCGGATGCCATCAATTTATTTAATAGTGAAAAAACTATTGAATCAAAACTTTACAATAAATAGAAAATAAAAATAAATGAGAGGTGTGGCTGTTACAGACTCTCTTTTAGTCCTGTAAGATTAAATTAAATTGTAACATGTGCTTTACAATATTTATTCTTAGATATTTAAATCCATCTCAAGTTCACTTTTTCAGGTGAAGTTAATTTCATGCAGTTTCTACCAATATTAAGTAGATTAGCAAACAACAAAAGTCAAATACTACATCAACTGCATCATCATAAAATTTATATAGTTCAAGGTGTAATCAGAATATGTGATTATATAACTTCTAAGTCTTTGAATAACATAATCAATGTGGTTGTACATGTGTTTACATTACACATTGATATATGTCTACCCCAGATTTACTGTATACCTACAGCCATTCAACTGAGAGTTTTCTATCTAGATCAAATTATTTCAACCCTTGGATGTAATTATGTTCAATTATTTCACTTAATATTTTTATATCCCACTCTGCTGCATTATTTTCATCAGTTTTAATCTGATATGGTCATTAAACTAATCAATAAACAGGCTAAAACTAAGTACTAGTCATACTTAGAACTTTGTGATTTTAAAAAAGTGTTTTGAGTTATGTATTTTATTTATTATTGTTTGATTGCTAGAATAATTAAGTTTGTTACTTCTCCAGGTTTGGAATTATTGTACAGTTTGTAATGTCAGAGTCTTCAAATTTTCCTGGCTTAAATAATAACCAAAAAATAATGTTCTGTCAGAGCATAGTATAGTTTTATAAGAAGAATTTCACTTGATCAAAGTCCTAATTTTTCAGTTGTTTAGCCATGATTCTGACACTTTGCGTCAGAAACCAAACTTTCCCAGATGAAATTTCATGCCTTTGATTTTACACAGATATGGGTATGTGTGTGGGAACTTCCGGTGACACTTCCGTTGAGGACAGACGGAGACCACGATCGTGCGTGCCTTCGATCCATGCTTACCCTGTTGGAGGGTCCCTATTGAACCAGAATCATCAGACCCACCTTGGAGGGGTGGGGGGAGAGGAGGAGACTGCCAGCCAGATTGAGGGAAGCTGTATCTCCCCTCCCTGGCTTGGTATACTCCCCTGGAAGACAGGGATAAGCAGCAGTTTTAATGGCTGCCCTGAAAACGGGAAGCTACCAGGACTTAAGTGTGTGCTGGAGTGGTGAAGTGGTGAGCAGCATGTAATCAGATAAGAGAAGCTAAACTTTTTGTTTCAATAACCCTGAAAAGCAGAAAGAAAGTTATACTTGAGAGTATAACAGCAGCAAATAGAAAACAAGAGGACAATATAAGGTAAATAAAAATTGGACTACAAAAGAGCTAAAATGAAATTAAGGATGGGATTGAGAATAATATACAAAACCTGGCATTAATTAGGCATTGGATAAAATGCTGAACCTACTTGGAATTGATTATACTTTAAAAAAATGCCAATGGTTGAAATGGTTGAAAATTAATGTTAATATAATTTAAAAAGGGGGGAAAAGAACTTTGAAAAGTGGAAGTGATATAGAACGCCACCTAATAGTAGAAGACATTTTTTCCTGGATGACTTCATGGAAAATTAATGGTCTTTTAAACGTGTGAATGAGAAAAGATATGAAATAAAAGACTTTAACACAACAAGAACCCCAGAAGGTTAAAAGAAAAAAGGAGAGATTGCAGCAAGAGGAAAAATGAAAGCAACATCTTGGGACTGTTGGGGGTTGACTGTGCAAAGAAAATAGAAGAACCAACAAGGAAAAGATAAATAAATGGAGTCTCTTGGCAAGGATTACAATTAACTTTAATAAGATAAAGAATAACCCAACTGATTAAAAAAATGGAAGAAGCAAGCAAAGAATTTAAGTTGGAACTGCAAACTGTGAAAGAAATGTTAAAAGAAAGAAGGGGACTATTGGACCTACTGGAAGAAAAAGTAAATTAATTAATAGCTGAACAAAGGAACCTTAGAGAGGAGGAGCCAAAGGAAGAGGAAAACAACCCAGATGGACATGAAGATTCAGAGACATTGTCAAAGGACATAAAAGGAATCAAAACAAAGACATTGCTGACATAGATAATAAATAAAAGAAAAAACATTCCCAAGAGTAAGCAAAAGAAGAAGAAGCTGTACCAGAAGAAATTTCAAAAAATAGTAAAGGAAAGGGTGGAAAGAAAGATGGGTAACTAGCAGGTGGAAATAAAAGCAATATTAGAGGAAAAAAGAGGAATAACAAGGAAAGGCCAGGAAAACTTAATAAAGGAAAAGGTGGCTAAAACTAAGAGAAATGACAAGGCCGAGAGATTTAGAGATAAGGGTTAGATATAGCATAAAAGGGAGATACCACATGAAAATGTATCTTTGTATTTTTTTATTAGAAATGTAGACTGGGGAGATTTGAAGTTTATAACTTACTGGGAATTACCTTAAGATTATTAGATAATTATAGATGAGAAAAATGAAGATGAATGAGCAATATTAAGAAGGTTCTATTGTTATAAATCCTTTTATATATTTGTTTTTGTAGATTTTCACGGGTACAGGTATGCAGGTTTTGGCATGTTCGGGTCTTTTCCCATGTAAGTAAATGCCTAGCCGACAAAGACCACCTGAGAACAGAATTACAAACCCTCACTAATGTATTAATTTCCAACGGATTCCAAAGAAACACAATTACCAACCTAATCCTAAGGGACACACCCCAAAAAAACTGAGACACAGAACAGGACAATGGTATCGCCCTCCTCCCCTACATCAAAGGCACCAGATAAAATCAGCAAAATTCTCCACAAACACAATATCAGGACAGCCTTCGGCACTGACCAAAAAATAGCCAACATTCTAAGAAACTCCAAGGACAAGATCATCTAGAAAACCAAGGAGTTTATGAAATACCATGCAACAATTGCCCAGCCACATACATTGGACAAACCAACAGGAGAATAAATGCACGCATCGCAGAACACAAGAACGCAGTCAGAAAAGAAGAAAACACTTCCTCCCTTTTCCAGCACCTTAAAGCCACAGGACATAAAATTAATTTTGAGGGAACCAAATTAATCTCCAATACTGAACACTTCAACAAGAGAATAATCAGGGAAGCCATCGAAATAGAGAAACACTCCCATAACATGAATAAACGGGACGATACCTCCCACCTAACAGACATCTGGAAACTAGCCCTTATCAACAGACAAGTCCCAGCCATGAAAACCAACACCAGACCCAAAACAACTCATGATGCCACCACCAATCTCCCTCACCAGACTCAAACCCAAACCCATCCCATAGACGAAAGGCAACCACCCTCCAGAAACCAGACCATGGCTGCATCACCAGCTGTCACACATTCCGACCCCCAAACTAAGCAAACTGACACATGCCATGAACATATAGCCAGACCTCAAACTCGGAGCCAAACCAAAACCCGGAACGTTACATCACTGCCACCTGCTCAGGATATCACATCATGAAATTCAGGAGGTTACACCACAAAATATATATATACTAAAAAATGCTAATGACTATTTAAACAACATTAGGAAAACAGAGAATATAATGACGTGGGTGAAAATATGGTATTAATTATGTTCAAAAAGTGTGAATTAGGGGTATATAAATGCTATAGGTTGAAATTGGGCAAAGGGAAGTAAAAGAGGAAATTAACTCTGTTTTTACTTTTTTTGTGGTATACTTGAAATAGAAAATGCAATTGATTATACAAAAGATATGAAAAATTAGAAAATATAATGAACTAGAAGTGATTATGGAGGAATGTAAAATATTTATAATGAATATATTATATGATAATCAAAAGCAGGGGAATGTAAATTTATTGAAGCTATATAGATAAATCTTGGCTAAGTGGAAACAAAGAAAAAAGAAATAAAATGATTATATGAATATATCTGCAATATATATAAGATATTGCAGATGGGGGGATATACCATGTGGATCCTAAATGTATCAACCTTACTTTACTCTTAGTCAGGTGTTTTTTTTTCATTGACTGTTTAATTATATATTGGTCTTGAGAAAGTTATAGATGATAATAACACATAATGTAACAAAAAATAGGTGGTAATCTGAAAATGGAAATAATAGGGGATAAAGAATTGAAAATATGTGTGAAGATGAAATGATTTGGATATTGAATTAATGAATTGAAATATGAAAGGGAAATTTATCTAAAGATTAGTTGAATGGATAATAATTTGAAGTGATATTAATTAAGAAAGTTGAAAATGCAACTAAGACTATGTATAAATATTTTACTCACATGAGTGTAAAAAAAAACTTGGATAAAGAAAAAGATATGGGTTTGTGTGTATGTACATTGTTACAATATGTTTGCCTTTTATCAGAATATGCTGAAGAATTAGAATATTGTAACTGGAAAAGGAATGAGAAATACCACAGAAGTTGCTACAAGGATTTTCAAATGATATCCCCCTTTGTTTTGTGTGAATACAGACTATAATACCAAATATGCAGTAAAATTATTCCTATCATGGAGAATATCTGTAACAAATTTTGGCCATTTATATTGATCAGCCTGATGATAGCAATTCCCCTTCTTGAATTCAGTGAAGCTTACTATCAGCCTTGGAGTCAAAGAAAAATGCAGTAAGCCTTTTATTCACTTGTCTTTCCTGTAAATGCACACAGTGATGCAAACTAATCCAATCAGGGACCTAAGGCAGTCACAAAGCTGCTTCTTTATTCTACAGATAAGAGTTGGCCAGAGTAGAGGCCAGAGTTTGGCAATCAATTCTATTCACTTTTTTTTTCAAGCTTCATCTACTCTTAGAAAGGGGCTTTTTCTAATTATACAGGATAACTATAGATCCATATAGTGGATAAATGGAACAGATAAATTGTTTTGTTGTGACATCAACTGAATTTCTGCTGTCATTGTAATAGATAATAAAAGAAAACAATGGTGAACATGTATTGGTAAAGGACTGGTGAAACTGAGCTCCAAAAGTTAAACAACTCTATCCCCAAACCAGTTAGGGATTTTCATTCCAGGAATGGGCGTCAGGCATCTGCACCACTGAGGAGAGAGAGGCCGCTTTGGGGTGAGAGCAAAAAAGGGTGCAAACACGGACAATGCGAGATATCTTCGGGGAATGGGACACACACACACCACGACGGCAGCTGCAGTGCAGAAGAAAGCAAAACTGGGACTTTTCAGACGCGAATAAGCGCCAGATTATTTTGAAGAGGCCCGAACTGGGAGGCGAAAAGCGCACCGATCTCTGGTTTTCACTCCACTTCTCGAACACCTGAGAGGGAGCCTACCATGAGCAATGGGAAATGGAAGAAGAGGGAGCGTCCTCTTTCAGCTACACAGTCCATATGCAAACCTACCAAACAACTTAAAATGGATGACTTTTTAAATGATATTCAGTCAACGGTCGTAAGTAATAAATTATCATCCTCACTTATTAGCCTTTCTAACAGATACGATCCATTGGAATGGGACTTACAAGCTGAGGTAGAGAGCTCACAGCTTCCGGACATTTCTGCTTCTTTACCAGGGGAGTCTTCCCTCTTTCAAACATCAGCTGTCGGTGTTGCCGCTGAGGGTTTGTTGCAACAAGAGTATGGGGAATTACAAAATAAAAACTTTTTTGATTTTATATCTAGGCAATGCATGCTGACGGCACAGACAGTGCTGACTACTTTTGAGCTTTTAACTGAGGTCAACAATAAAGTGGACTCATTAAAAGAGTCAGCTGTTAAGTTTGCTGATCCAAAGATGGATGCTAACTTGGGTTTCACTAAAAGTATAAAAAACTTGTCATGTGATCTACTCCCTCACCTAGAGGTGCATGTGAAGCAAGGTTCTCTCTCCCAAGAAGTCTCGGATAAAAAGCACACAAGTTTTAACTGTTATCTACAGTGGCATCAGATTACCTTACAAATTTTAAATAACCAAATGGATAAAGGGAAGTGGGGATTTAGAAATGCGGTTATTCTTTCCCTTAGCCAGCTTCTTCGTTGTGAAAGGCAGCTGGTGGATTTGCAGAGGGTGGAATGGCTTCCCTCCAGAGGGGCTTTTAAATGTATTTTGTTGATTTTTAAACAACCCACTATAGCCAGTATGCTGTTTAAAATGAATTCCTTCCTCAGTGGATTTAGAATTTTTCCGATTCACGTGTTTACTAAGGAGGGTATTAGTCCTTTAATAACTCATATTGGCAAGAAGAGCACTGCTTTCCACAAGCCTAATTGCAACTATTTTAAAGCTGTTAACTTTAAGGATGTTATCTCTCCCGCACCCTTGAGAAGTGGCAACTTGAAAAATCAACCTCCTATCCGGCAGCATACTGAGATACTGGAGTCAGGCCTGATTCATTCTTTTTGTACTTTGCCAGAGTTAGAACAAGTGGGCATCATTAAAAGATTAGACAACCTGAAGGATCTTTTAGAAGTCACACGTAAAGCTGCAAAACCTCCCATAGAATTTGCTATCCCGGCTGCAGATGTTATTAATGCTCTTTCTGAGAATTCTGATGAAATTCCTCTTCATATAGATGCTGCAAATAATAACTCTGTAAAAGAGGTGTACAGGCGAGAAGAAAGGAGTGTTGCTCAATTACTGTGGAACAACAAATAGAACAACAAATAGAAGATGACCTTGGAGTAGATGTTGAACTGCATCATAAGGAGGTTCCAACCTGCTCGTTGCTACTCCCTTTGGTCTCGGACACTATCCCACTTGGCCAACCTATAATGATACCTTTGCAACAGGTTGTTGGCCCTCAGAAGCATTTGGAGTCTGTTTACCAATTTGGCAGTAGTGAAGGCAAACACCAAACAAACCAGTGTGTCTTTTTTGACTCTGGGGGAATCTTGGATAATATTACTCCTGTGGAATGACTGGAAAATGTTAATGTCCCTCCCAATGCTTACATTAATTCCCTCCCTATAATGACAAATGACAAGCAAGTAGATTATTTTCACCTATTGTCCTGGTATATTGCTGGCTGGAAAGCCAGAGCCATGGATGGTGATTTGGAGGATTTCCTGATAAATTTTGATCTTATAGCCCTTCAGGAGACCTGGCTGACCATGGATGAAGACCAGATCCATCTGCCTGGCTTTGATTCGTGGTCTATTCCTGCAGTTAAATTTAAGACTAAAGGAAGGGCCTCTGGAGGCTTGTCAATTTTAGCCAAAGCAGAGTTTGACTGGCAAGCCCAGAAGCTCGGTTTTGGTGATGCTTCTGCTTCTCATTTAATTGTCAAGTTCTTCTATGGTTCTTTCAGTTTGATATTACTGAATATATATATCCCTCCTCGCTCCTCCCCTTATTATACACCTAATATCTGGGCAAATTTGGAAAAGACAATTATAAAATTAAATGTCCAACATCCTAACATTACTATAGTTTTGGCAGGAAATGTTAATGTCAGGGTAGGGGCATCTTTACATAACTTTGTTTATTCTGGTGTTATTCCTGAGGATTATTTACTATCTATTCCTCCCTGGCATTCCAGTGATTACAAAAGAAACATTGCAGGTACACAATTGGTTTCTATGATTCATAACTGTAATCTCTATATTATAGAAGGTAAGGACTATGGTTTTATATATCCTTTTACATATCACTCAAGTAACTCCAGTAGCATTCTAGATTATATATGTGTTTCAAGAGATAAGCTTGAGAGGTTCGCAGATATACAAGTCCACGTGAGGGAAGGTAGTGATCACCAACCAATTTCAGTTTTATTTCAAGGCAGTTCAGATATATGGAGAAACTCATCGTGTGGCAAAAGGTTTTTTGCAAACCTGGAAGTGAGACAGGATAGAAAACTCAAATGGGCCAAAGTTGATATTGCGGCATTATCTATTTTTTTGGATTCTGCAAAACCTCAGATCTGGAGAAGCTTAATTTCTCATTCATCTTCAGGCTCAGATAATATTATGGTCCATTATGATGGTCTATGTCATTCATTGAAGAAATTTCTTACTGTCAAACTTCCGATAAGAAACTGCCAACAAGTTGGAGTTAGCTGGTTTGATTCTGACTGTTCGCACAGTAGAAAATATTTGAGAGCTGCAATGTGTAGGGTTCAGCAATGTCCCACCTCAAAAAACTATAGCAACATGTTGAAAATTAGGCGTGATTATAAGAAATTGATAGCATCAAAGAAGGCTTCTTTTAGAACTAAATTATGGTCAGACTTGGAAATTTGGGCAAAAGGGTCAAATTCAGCTTTCTTTTGGAATGCTGTCTCAGGTATATTGAAGAAATGTAAATTTTATTTTGATATCCCCATTCCTGCTTCAACCTGGGAGAATTTTTATTCTAATCTTCTTTTTAAATCCAATCAGGACTCTATGCATACCCAAAGCAATGATTTATTAACTAGAAAATCTCCCTATCTGGCCCCCTGTTTCTGTTTCAGAAATTAAATCCATTATTCGATCATTAAAAGCTAATAAGGCACCTGGTGAAGATTTTTTGCCCTTGGAATTATTTAAGATTTATATGGACTGGTGGGCGCCTTTGTTAGCAGGGCTATTTACCTTTATAAACAATACTGACCGCATACCTGTGGGTTGGGAAGTGGCCATTATTGTTCCCTTACATAAAAAAGGAGACAGAGGCAATCCAAATAATTACAGACCAATAAGCCTAATTGGAATTGTTGCTAAAATGTATGCAAAGCATTTGTTGAGCAAAATTGAAATCTGGGTTATGGAGAATAATCTTTTGGCAGAGGAACAAGCAGGCTTTAG